AAAAAAAAAAAAAAGAATTTAGACACACACTTTACACCCTTCACAAAAATTAACTCCAAATGGATCACAGACCTAAATTTAAAATGAAAAACTGTAAATAACTTCTAAAAGATGACACAGGAGAAAACCTAGATGACCTTAGGTATAACTATGACTTATTAGATACACCAAAGGCACAATCCATGAAAGAAAGAATTGAGAAGCTAAACTTTTGTAAAATTAAAAACTTCTGCTCTACAAAAAACAATGTCAAGAGAATGAGAAGACAAGCCACAAACTGAGAGAAAATATTTGAAAAAGGCATATCAGATAAAGGACTGCTATCCAAAACATACAAATAACTCTTAAAAGTCAACAATAGTGAACAAATCAATTTTGAAATGGGCAAAACACTTGAACAGACATCACACCAAAGAAGATATACAGAGGACAAGCAAACATGTGAAAAGATGTTCAACATCCTATGTCATTTAGGCAAAACAAATTAAAATGAGATACCACTACACACCTATCACAATGGAAAAAATACTGACACATCAAATGCTAGTGAGGATGTGAAACAACAGGGACTCTTATTCAATGCTGGTGGAAACGCAACAAGGTACAGCCGGTTTTGAAAACAGTTTCGTTTTTCTCATAAAACTAAACACACTCTTAACCATGTTATCTAGCAATGACACTCCTTAGGATTTACAGAAAAGATTTGAAAACTCATGTCAACACAAAAGCCAGCACATGGATGTTTATAGCAGCTTTACTCATAATTGCCAAAACTCAGAAGCAACCAAGTTGTTCTTCAGCAGGTAAACTGATAAACTATGGTAGTTTACAGTCCCACCAGCAGTGTCTGAGTGTTCCTGTCTCTCCGCATCCATGCCAACATGTGTTGTTTTGGGACTTTTGATAAAAAGCCATTCTCACAGGAGTTAAGTGATATCTCATTGTGGTTTTGATTTGCATTTTCCTGATGATTAGTGATGTTGAGCATTTTTTGATCTTTTTTGGCCATTAGTCTATATTCTTTTGAAAAGTTTCTGTTCATGTTCTTTATCCACTTTTTAATGAGGTTGTTTGATTTTTTTCTTGCTGATTTTCCTGAGTTCTATATAGATTCTAGTTATTAGCCCTTCATCAGATGTGTAGCATGCAAATATTTTCTCCCCTTCTGTAGGTTGTCTATTGGCTCTAGTGATAGTATCTTTGGCTGTACAGAAGCTTTTTAATTTGATCAAGTCCCATTTATTTATTTTTATTGATGTTGGGATTGCTTTGGGGGTCTTCTTCAACCTCTGTGGAAAGTAGCATGGAGGTACCTCAAAGAATTAAAAGTAGAACGAGCATTTGATCCAGCAATCTCAATTCTGGGTATCTACCCAGAGGAAAACAAGACATTTTACAAAAAAAGACATCTGCACTGGAATATTTATAGCAGCACCATTCACAATTGCAAAGATGTGGAAAACAACCCAAGCGCCCATCAATACATGAGTGGATTAACAAAATGTGGTATATGTATACAATGGAGTACTACTCAGCCATAAAAAATATGAACTAACTATTGTATTATACTAGATAGTGCTGGAACGCATTCTTCTAAGTGAAGAATCACAATAATGGAAAAATAAACACTACACGTACTCACCATTAAATTGGTACTAATTGATCAATGCCAACGTACACATATGGCAAGTAACATTCATAGGGTGTCTGGCACATGGGAGGGCAGAGGAAGGGATGGGTAAATCCACACCTAACAGATGTGGTGTGTGCTGTCTGGGGAAGGGGCATGCCTGTTGGGCGGTACAAAGGCAATTTATGTAACCAAAGTGTAACCCTGTTATACTCTGAAATAACAAATTAAAAAATAAAAAAAATGTAGATTAATAGTGGAAAAAAACTGTGGTAGATGTAGAGACTGTAATATTATTCAGCACTAAAGATAAAGGAGCTATCAAGCCGTGAAAAGACATAGGGGAACCTAAAATACATATTATTAAGTGGAAGAAGCCAATCTGAAAAGGCTATATACTATATGATTTCAACTATATAACATTCTGGAAAAGGCAAAACTATGAAGACAGTAAAAAGATTAGTGGTTGCCAGGGGTTAGGGAAGAAGAAGGAGGGATGAATAGGCAGAGCAAAGAGGATATTTAGGGCAAGGAAAATATTCTGTATACTACTACAATAGTGGATACATGTCACTATACATTTGTCAAAACCATACAGAATGTACAACACCAAAAGTGTACCCCAATGTAAACTATGGGTGCTGAGTGATAATGATGTGCCAGTGTAGGCTCATCAGTTGTAACAACTGTACCGTTGTGGTGCCAGATGCTGACAGTGGAGGAGGGTGTGCATACGTGGGGACAGGGATTACATGGGAATTCTGTATTTTCTGCTCAATTTTGCTGTGAACTTAAAACTGCTCCAAGAAATAAAGTTTATTAATTTAAAAAAAATGGTTAGTTGGTAAATTTTATTTTATGTGTATTTTACCACAATTTAAAATTAAAATTAAAAAACAAG